AACTGAGTACTTGATTGCAAACAGAAAAGGTAAATTGGGAAAACATTTAAAAAAATGGGGAAAATTTATGAAAATTGTAGCAACGACCCAGCATATCAGCATGAATTCCTGAAAAAATTGTAATATTTTTGTGAAGACTTTGTACTTGTTGTGCAATGTAATTTTTTTTGGTACACATACATGTAACTACGTAAAGTGCTTATGTAAATTGACTCAATAAAAAATGTTTTAAATATAAAAAAAAAACAATTACAAATGACTTCAGCCAATGGTAGCCTTAGAACCAGTATTGACTACTGATGATATACTGGTAATCTGTGGGTGAGGTAAGTACCTGATGAAATGACACTGGTGTGACTTCAAAAAATGACAGAGTATTCCAAGATGGAACTAAAGATTTCACAATTTCACTTGGTTGTCCATGCTCTGTAAAAATAATTAGAAATTAAATTTGTAGGAAAAAATGTAGGAACAAATTATTGTCACATAGATTGAAACTTCCATACAATTCATCATTATAAGTGTAGATTCATTACAATATTTGTCACAAATTTTTCTACATACATTCCATTATTTTTTTAATATTTTTTATATAATTGTTTTATATTTTTTATATATTTGTTTTCATAGCATCTTTTGTTGTACTCTTTATTTTTAAGTCAACATCATAATAAGGATATGATTATAATAAAGTTATTAATATTATTACAAATTGATTTTTCTCAGTGTATTGAATATACATATACATGTGATAATCGTCTTAAAGTTAGTTGAGGGTGCTAGGCCTTTATCTTACAGCATTTCAGATGTCACTTACCATCGGTTTCAAACAAGTCTAGATTTCCTCCGTCTTTAATGTCCCAATGTGGTACAAGATATAAAATAAATGCAATGCGTCTCCCTTCTAACTCATCATCATGGCACAGTAACACATCTATATGAATTCAGTAAAAAAAAAACCTGATAAAATAAACAATTGCTAATGTCAGCTAGAATTGTTTAGCAGTGAGAATTAAATGATTCACATCATAGTGTGACTTCCTACCTGTATATTCATACTTTGCACATGTCATGTCGACTGTATCATTGAGTGCTATGCCAGTCACATCTCGTAACCAACTCAGAAAATCTCCATATAAAAGTTTTCTGAAAGAAAGACAAAACACTGATTGTAGATAATAATAATGATAAGGATACAATTTCTGTGAAAAAAATGATATATATGGGTTAAGTAACCAAGATTTCTATTATTTATTTTCAAAATTCATTCAACGGGTAATAACTTTTCCATCAGTTATCTCTCAAATATAAAATGATTCTATAAATATTTAGTGTGCGAACACATAATCTTTGAGATAAAAACATTCTACGTATATGAAGACAGTGAATCGGTGTAATGCACGC